ATAAATTTTTGTTAGAGTGTCGCCACCTATCTATGACCTCTTGAAGCCTTGATGGCACACCCTTGACTCCAGCAAAATATTGGCTACAGCCTCGCTGCTGATTCCGTCAATCAAGAAGCCGATTACCTAATTCTGAATGCTGGAAAAATTCCATCGCGTTGGAAATTGATTTGATATTTAAAAAAAATGTTACGAATGTCGATTCTATGACTCAATTCTATTTTCACTCAGACCTTTATGGATTTACTGTTGATATTATTTTATCGCTTGTTTAATTAAATAAATTATGGTTTTCTAATTCTGTGGACTCTCTGGGCATCTTCTGACTGCATGATTGAATAAAATTCAGATTTAGAGATTAAATCACAGGTTATTGTTTAAATATTTAATTTAAATGTGGAATAGTTTCTGATAAAATCGAATTAAACAACAGGTATTTCTCTTATCAGTATTAATTTTATTAATTAAATCACCAATTTCCATTACGAAGTTGTCACCTGCAGACTTTTTTCCGTTTTCCCTCCGCAAAAAAAAAATGATTGCTCATATAATTTCTTCGAGGTTCAAGACGGCTTTATTATTCAGTAAAGTTTATTAATCGAAGGGTGAGGGATTTATATTGATATTTATCGAGGCGCAAATTTGTGGAATGATTATTACAAACTTGTCATGGCAGGAGGACGAGCGTAAGCTTTCGGTATAAAACCGTATTTTCGGGTTTTTGGGGCATAGGCCCACAGCCATCCATCGACAGTCTGATTACCGAGATCAGCATAAATCCAATCTGCCCTTTTTACAGAGAGATCATCCGGCGCCTGCGCCTTGTAATCATATAAAACCACTAGTTCAGTCCCAGTCGCTTCATCTCTGAAGTCTCGCAGATCTTTTTGCTGAAGCTGTCGATCGTTTGATGCTCCATTCCTATGGCCTGCATCATAAAAATCAATTCAATTAATTAAAATTACTTTTTCAGGTCATCATCTACTCGTACTAGAATTTTAATAAATCAGGGAGAATTCAGCAGACCTAATACATGTGAGACATCACTAGTAGCAGTTGTTGTTGTTGTGGTGGTCCCAGTAGTGGCATATGAATGCAGTACGTGTCCAGGATATACAAAACCTGATGGGACGAATCCCTCATTGCCATCACAGTGTCGAAGTACCCAGAACCAATCAGGATCATCACGATTCAGGACTGTTACGAATTCACCCCTTTCCACACTCACGTCATTCTCATCTCGAGCCACGAAGGTGTACAGGACGATGTACCTCCCAGCCGATGGGTCCTAAACGCAATAATCAATAACCGATAATTAATTCTCACGTTCAGATTTTACGACGGTAGCAGATGATTCATGAACGGTAGAAGGCACGGGTCGAGGTCGATTTGATCGATAGGATTCTTGGATATCTTGGAGTCTAAGGAAGTCTTCAATTTTACTCAGGACTTTTTAATTATTTTTTTTAACGGACTGTATGAAAAAAACCGGTGGTTTTAGAAAATTGAATTACATTACAAAAAGATCCTGATGAGTTGCCACAGGATAACGTCCACTTTTCGAGGAATATCTCGTAATCGAACAGAGTTAGCAAAATTTTTGATAAAATCTTTTATATAGAGCGCGATAAGAGCTAGAAAAAAGATTTCTACATAAATTTCTCTATTTCTTGTAGATCCAGAGATATTCAGGGAAAATTATCGTACCAGGTAAATCGGCTTGTTAAAAATGATTTCGTCATTCTCACCTTGAAGAAGGGATGAACGTCAGGCTGGGGTGTAGCTTGAATGGAGCTCTGAGATTGAGTCATGTGGGTTCGATTAACATCGGCAGTCGTGATATTTCGAATATAACTTTCACAGTCCGAAGCAGATCCGGTGTCCGTGTGCTGTGACTCGACTTGGGATCGTCCGTTGTTGACGAGATCCCCATCCCCTTCGTGAGATCGTGGCAATTTTTTCTTTATATTATTCATGAGACTCGCGAGTGTTTGCTCTGCAAGTTGTGACGTATAAGGGGTGCAGTAAGAGTGAGGAACAAATCCTTCCATTCTCGTATCCGCTGCGATCACGTAAACCCAGTCGTTCTCTCTGTATAAAATATTGACTACCTGAAATGTCCAGCTTTAATTAAAATTATTACCTTATATTATGAAATTGTTCTAGAATTGTAAAAAGTCGAAGACTAAAATGTGAAAATAAAATTATTCTTCTTTGGATATTATTTGAATCCAATACAATTGGAGAAAAAAATTCGATACGATTTATCAATCGGTGAATTACTTACCTGTCCTCTTTTAACTTGAAGTTCATCATCAACGCACGGTGTGAAATCATGAACAATAACCATTTTGCTGTCTGGAGATAAACCATTTTCCTTTTCAATTCCAACTCTCACGAGGGTTTCAATACTGGCACTTCCAGTGATACGTCCTGGTGGCAAAGTCGCTCGATTGGATCCAAGTCCAATGCTCGAGCCACCGAGTCCATCTCTCTCAAGATTAAAATTGTGAACGCCAGCTAAAAAATAATCCCCAACCAAAATTCCCATTTATCCTCAAAACCAAAAGAATTCTTCATAGTTGGAGAGAAAATAAGGATTAATTAACCAGAGCTATTATTTGAGTCTCGATTTAAATAAAATTCCCATCGATTTCACAAGCCGAGAAAGAATTCCCCCAGAATAGCTCATTGCATGCTCTTCCCAATTATTAAACAGCTCTGAATAATAATCCCGCACAACCAGTGAGTTATCGCAGTTGAAAAATATAATTAACGTACATTTCTTCTTCGTTCCCCGGCGTATGCGAACAGGACAAAGAAAAGCCATTCTCAGAAATTTTAGGGATGATAAAAAGTATCAGACATGTCGTACCACACGAAAAGTACAACTGAACGATATGTCGGGCACTTGGAATACATGAAAGCCCTAAACACCTGAACCTCCGCGTAATTAAAATTCAAGAAAAAAACGCTAAACCGCGATACCGCGAAACCGCGAATTCTCAAACAATCATTCAACAATGACAATAAAAATCGGTAATAAGAAAAACCGATTGATGTTAGACGCAAACGTTTTGGGCACGATGTTCAACACTATGACCAATCACATGTATACGGGTTTGGGCCTGTCAGGGACCCCTCTCTACCTGTCCCCCGACTTTGAAACCCCACACCCGTTATAACCAACGGTGCGTCTGCAATTCCCCTCTACATTTTACCTGTGGAGAGACCATTGGAGGATACTGAGAGATGCCGGAGAAAATTTTCCAAATGCATCTCCATCAGCGCCTCCAGATGCACTTGCCACTCAAGTGCATTCAGAGAAATAATTCATTTTGTCAAGTGAATTCGGGAGGATAATTGTTGAAAATTTATACAAGACGCCATTCAATTTTCTATCCTCAAACTAATTTGTTTAACAATTAACCTGTAGGAATTGTTTTATCTAGGCGATTCCTGGAATTGAAAAAATTTTATATTGAATATTAATTTAATTGAATTGGTAGGGAATAATATTGAATGTTTTATTGAGTTATAACTATTTTATTTATATAATTATTCGATTCTTTCCGGTGAAATTGTGAATTCAAAAATGAACTGAATAATCTGTAATCAATTGAAACAAATAAATAGATAGATTAATTAATAATGACTCGATGCATTGATTCATGAATCAATTACTATAATTATCATAATTATTCTATTAGTTAATAAGTTGATGAATTGTTATTTAAAAAAATGTCATAACTCAAGGACTTGCGCCTCGCAGAATAAAATCGTGCAAATGATCCGGAAAAATCGTCGGGAAAATATCACGTGCCGGTCGTTATTGATAATTAACAACAAATATTATCATTTTACGATGAATAATACGGAGAATTGAAGTACTAAATTGAGTGGGTGGAAATAAAAAGTTGTGAAGAGTTGTGCAGGCGCACATTCCTAACCTGAAGACCGCCTCCACCACAAAATTCCAGTCGAAATAAGTGAAAAATTCATTAGTTTAGGAATAAATTGAAGATCGAGGATCAACCCCAGATGAACAATGTATATTCTAAATAAATTGCGCAATTTATCCGGATGGAGAAGTGGCACTAAACAAATATCAATTGACGCAACGATACCCTTAATATCTTTACCAGTCCTAACCTTAATAGCCGCTCAAACAATTTATTTAACAATCATAGTATTTGTTGTGACACCAATAATAATCTACCATCTGCATCATAATTTTTTAAGGTTTTTACCTCGCTCAAAGTTCTTTCTCATGTGGACAATTACAAGTGTTGTAATGCTGATGATTATTTTTGAATTGTGTGTTGTGCCATTATTAGAGATTGTTGTTGAGGAGAATTACGTATTTATGGCGGGAGTTGTTGGTGGAATTTTTTGTGGATTCAAGACAAAAGTCAAGTCGGATTCTGCTGTGCAGACTGATAATTTGACACATGAATCAGAAGTGGTGAAAGCCAGTGAGGAAATCTGTCTCATGTGTAAAAAACCACCACCTGCCAGGACATATCACTGCAGGACCTGTCAAACTTGTGTTGCTGGCAGAGAATATCATTGCAGATGGTAGAAAAATTTTTTCCTAAAATTAATTCTTCAAAGACCTTCGGAATTGGTAGAGAATAAGTTTGAAGTGGTCATTTGTTTCATCGATTTCATTAAAATTCTATTAAAAACAGGCTGGACTGCTGCATAGGCTCCAACAACCTTCGGTGGTACCTCGGCTGCTTGTTGTGCTCATCAGTGGCCTTCATTTATGGATCGAATCTCACAATGACGAGTGTCTGTCACCCATTCGTCCTCATCGGGACGATTCTTCTGCCAGACGACTGCAGTGATGTCTACCACCAGCTAGAGTAATTTTTCCACTTTCACCGAAGACCTAGCGAAATTTTTACAGAGACACTTTTTATTGGTCATAATGAAAGCTACAAAAAAGATCTCTACAAAAATTTTGCTGTCGCTTTTAGATTCCGAGATATGTCCTGAAAACTTATCTGTCAACTGAATCGATTTGTAACTCATTAGTTAGGGGAATTGATTGATTAATTTTTATGATTAATTGCAGCCTCGCCGTGTGCCTCGTCTCAGGGATCTACAGTCTGCTCGGAGGACTCGTTGTACTCGGGTATTTAATTTACCACGTCTACTTGATATTTCTACGTACAACAGCCCAGGAGAGACGCATTAGTTCCAGCAAAAACGGATGCTCTGGATTATTATCCAGTTATTTCGGAAACGAGATGTGAATTGTAGCACAAGATAATGTAATGTACAGTGATCATCAGTCTAATGTATGACTACGTTTACGCTTATATTTTATTCATAGAGGCAGTCGAATATTTTTGTATATTGATAGGTATTTATTCATCGATAAATTCGGTCTCAACCCGAACATTAACGCTTATTCACTCACATATAAATTCACTCGAGCCCTGGGGAAAGCTGAGGCGATCTTAAACGTTTTTCTTAACATTCATATCTTAGAAAATAATTTACTGCTCTGTGAGTTTTTTTTTAATTTATACGCAATTGAATAAATTGATTAGTTAAATTTTGCCTCAGTTTTCCTCACAATTTTACCTCTTACGACATGAAATTAGTAGGGTGCAGTGAAAATTGGCTGTTTCCTTTTTTTATTTTTAATAAAATTCGGTATAAAATCGTATGAGAGCCGATCCTAGGAGTGTAGGTTAATTATACAGTAGCAACAATGAAGAATAAAATGTGTAAATGAGTTATGATTTCTAGTTTTGCAATGGAGAAAATTAAATATCGTTTTACAAAGATTAAAGCGAGAATAGCACTGGCTGTTTTTTATGTAATATATTGTGATCGCGTAGTGTTCATGTATAAAAAAATTACCGACTAAAGGTTGATGAATTTGTTGGACAATTCTATTGGATTTCTATTGATCGTTTATTATTTATTTCTCATTCTGTTTGAAAATCAAGAGGTTTATGTTAAATATTCCTTTCAAATAAAAAATAAAATTTCAATAGAAACCCCAAAAATCACTAGAAATTAAAAAAAATCGCTACAATCGTCTGTAAAAATTAAAACGTAATGGGCACTAACGAAGAAATTAATTACAGCTGTGATAAAACATATACGATATCGTCACACCTTTCACCATAATAATAAAAATACAATTATAAAATTGGCCTCAAATTTCACGTTAAAAAAAAACGTGTATGAAACCATCAGTATTGCATATTAAAAGTTTAAATAAACCCGATTCATCGTGCCACTGATGAACCTGAAGAATTGTATTAATCACTAATCCCTGATGACTCCCCTGTGCTTGGGACAGAAATTAGGGACAACATTTTGCACAAGTGCCCTAAATTTTTCCTTCTGCCTGTCGCTCTCATTCACATCCTCCGAAATTCTAGTGTACGTCCCCCACATCCGGAAGTACTTGCGCATCATCTTCTCATCGTAATAATTCTCGACGAATTGCAGGGTCTCCAGAGACTTGGCCTTCATCTCCAGAGCTCGGTGATACCAGGCCCTCAAATACCTCCCACACACCCTCGCCCTGTAAAAATCCCAGGCGATTTGAAATTTCTTCGCCCTCTCCCTCGCCATCTCCACCCATTCGCTGAAAAATCGAAATAGAATATTTCCATTGCAGATCGTAGTGCACCTCCTCACCTTCGCCTCAACCGATTGTCTCGTCACGTTTTTCCAAGTCCCAAAACTCCTCTGGAAATATAATAATTACAAGATCGTGAGGAGAGAATAACGCAAAACCCTTTTATAGATTTTACCTTCAAGGAAGTACTGTAGAAATGCTCGTCAGCAATTTGCAAAAGGTGTTTTTCCTCCTGCAGAATCCTGACAAAAGGCATCAGAATATAATTCCTCAAGAGGTACCTCCTGTAGAACCTCTCGATGATTTCATTGGAAAGCCTCAGCCTCTCAGCTTCAATAATCTTCTTCCTCCGTTGCTCCTGAAGAAGTCGTCTAGCCCTGCGCTGTGCCTCCAGTTTCAGGCTCTTCTGCTTCTCCTCCTCTTCCTTCTTCCTGTCTTCTTCCTGCTGTCTCTGAATCTCCAGTCGTTCCCTCTGCTTTTCCCTAGCTTCCCGCAGCCTCTCCCTCCGTCGTTGAGCCCTCGCCTCCATCCTGAAGATAAAATCCGGGGTCTGACAGGCTCCAGACCCATTTGTCCTCGAAAAATCTCCTCCAGGGGAATCAACTCCCTCTGTCCTCATCAACTGCATCAAGTCGCTTCTTGTCCTCTGTCTGCATTTCTTCAGCACTTGTCTAGCAGTCGTGAGCGTTTTCTCTTTCGCCAGGTGGGATTCCTCGGAGAGTCTCTTCAGTCTCATCTCCTCGATTATCTGATTCTGCTGGACCAGCTTCAATCTCTGCTCAGTGATGATCTTCTTCTGGAATGATAAGCGCTTCTGCAGAGAGGATTCCACTATTTTTCCTGGTCTAACCATCAACTCCTTCTCCTCCTTCTCTTCTGGAGGTCTTCGTGATGCACCTCCGGTCGTATCGACTCTCCTCAATGGCTTCTGCTTCTCCACCAGTGCATCCACAAACTCCTGGATCTTCTGGTCGTCAGACAAATCATTTTTTATCGCCGGGAGTTCCTTTTTTCTCTCATCCACTCTTGATTTCCAAATCCTGAAGTGACGTTTTAATTCCAGGGTGACCAGACGCTCGTGTGTTTTTATCTTCAATTCGCAGAGACGTTTTGTCCTCTGGAGATGGGACAGGAACGCCTGGAAGGCCCAACCTAGAAGATTTAATCGGTATTCTTTCGATTCAACGATCGGTTTTTCCTTAATTGTCACCTTGATACTTTCCGAATAAGAAAATTCAGAAAAATTTTGAAGCTGTCTTCTGACAACATTCTTTGGCGGATTCTCCAAGTCTTTCGAGACATTTCCCATCATCGAATTGCAGGTTAACAACTCTTCATCGTCTACACTCGAGAGCAAGTGTAGCATTTCGATTCTATTATTGAGAAAGTGTGGAAATCCTTGGAGTACTGTGGAATTTAATGGAGTTTGATTTCTGTTTGATTTATGGATTTATTTTTTTAACGTCATGACCTGGACACGACGCTTAATTAGATTATCTAGTGTTGAAGTAATAATTTTAATCGCTTCAGTAATGAGTATCGAGAGGTCGTTATGGGGAACACTTCACTGCGTGATGTTTCACACTTCTTCTTATCGCAAAACTTTTGGATAAAGTTCGGAGTAATGATAGTACTGTATCGTGAGAAGATATATTTGTTTGGAGTTTGGGTCGACGATTCATTCGCAATTTGTTGCTATGCAACCGATCAACATTCAACTCCGAGATTTCTGAATTTTTTTCTGGAATTTCTCTGTATTTTCACATCAATATCTCCATCAGAAATGAATAAATCAACTTTTATTATTACAAAAAGGAATATCTCATCGGATTAATAATTAATCCACCGAAAGACATGATGGAAGTGGAAATTAATGGTTTGATTGTTTAAAAATTAATCTCATGACAAAAGAATATCGAAAATCGACAATTCACGATTCTCTGGCTTTCCCATGCTCTAGTGATAATAAATAAAGTCCTAAAATTAAATATATCATAGAGAAATGCTTTTTTATTTGCAGTTTAATTATGATTATACATTGTTTCTTCAAAAAAAAAAAAATGAGATTGTCTCTCGGTATCGTATGCTTAATAGGCGATATTATTGTGAAATATTGCTTTATAAATCAAAGATTACTCTATTTGGTTCATGAAATAGTTATTTACTCGGTTCTTATAATTACTTTATATATTCTTTTATTAACAATTATCGTCTGAAGAAAGAAAACAATGGAAGTGAATGGAAACTCCTAAAGAATTTTTCTATGAGGAAAAAAACAGCTAACAACAAATACGTTTTCTCTCCTAATTAAAATATGGTACACATAATTGACGGCTATTGCATTTCGAGAATACTACAGCTTTGAAACGAGTTAATGGCATATCGTTCGGTTCAATGAATTCTTCACATTCTTTCTCTCGTTTCAATCATTAACGGGTTAAGTTTACTGATGCCATCATCAATTACCACAATTCAGGCTCAATGCTTTGCAGAGTCAGAGACCAATTCAACAAACTCGTTGTTAATTACAACGTAATGCATAAGACAAATTTCATTATAGTCACGGAATTCTTTACATTTTTACGTTGAATTTTTATTGAGCGAATGATTTTCTTTGTCTGATATCAATTCTTCTGATTCCATTCGTCATTCGATCGACGATTTTTATTTTAATTTAGTGACACGAGTACATAAAGTAAAATTATTAATACAGATAATTTTGGGATTTATCAGATCTTGTGATGATTTTTTAACCAATTTTTCCCTAAAATTATGAGGTTTATTTAACGAATTGATTCGGATGATTTGTTCTTTTATAAATAGTCAGACCACTAATGGTTTTTTGATGAATTGTACCAGTCAATTTTTATGTGTCATCATCAGTTGTTTTTTTTTTCCTAGTGATGAGAATGAGCGAGGATGAAAAAGAATAATCGTGCATATTTAAATCCAACATGGAGATCAATTTTGTACTTTACATTGTAAATAATCCGGTTCTGTTCGATTACTCCGAAGTTCAATTACTTGTGACTTCCGAAATTACTGCAAATAAAAAATTCAATAAAACCTAGCTTCCCCCAAAAATTGATCTCGTACGGAAAAAGATTGTGCCACAGAGAAAATCTCAATAGAAAAATCAAAATCCGATTTTTGAGAGGAAGATATATTCCATTGAATTTAATACATTCGAGAGATAAAGCACATGATCATGTACGAAATAATTCAAAGATGCAATTCTTTCGTGTATGAAACTCTAGACAAATGACAGATTTATCGTCCGATTGTTGTCAACATTGTTATTTTGGACGTGATCAAACTTATTTTTTAATTAATGTTAATATTTACACTGAGCTTAAGACACATGCATCGTCATAATCTGCATGATGAAACTCTCTAATCACAAAATTTTCAGGCTTCAGCCAATTGCAGGTACTAGATTTTTTTTATGTGATACGAGTTCTCGACGAATATTCAATGTTTTATCATTTGTTTAATCGACCCTAGATGAACAGTGAGTCATGGTTGGACCTATATAAAAACAAGAGGATATATTCTTAAAGAAAATAGATACAAAAAATTTAGAGATGAAGATGTTCTAGTTTGTGACACATATTGAGCTAATCACGAGACAATTCACAACGTAAATTTTATTCTTCTTCGTTCCTAATGCTATTTAATATTATTGCGTGGATCGTTCTTATCAAGTATAGATAACACTATGCAATGATTTACTTCTTCAAGAACAATGGATATCTATGATGTAGGTCAAAGTGCATTATATTCAATGATGCGTTATTTCTGAAATGTTAAGCTACCACGATTAACGAAAATAAAAAAATTTTCATAACAAAGAGGTAAACAAGCTCAATATCTCCGAATCCATGCGAAATAGCAAAATTTTTGTAGAAATCTTTTTTGTAGTCCTTATATCGCCCTACAAAAAAGGTCCTGAGGAAATTTCACGATTTTTCACAGATTCAGAGATATTTCTCGAAGAATCGACCTATTATTTTCTACTTCTCCAAGTTAGTTCAGGTAATCCACGAATTTTTCAGGAATATCTCTGAATATACGAGAGATAATGGAATCATCGTAGGGACCTTTTTTGTAGGGCTTATTCCGCTCTATAAAAAAGGTCCAGATGAAAATGGTTGTTTTCAGCTTAGATTCGGAGATAATCCTCAAATCATCGACTCATCATTCTTTACCTCTTCCCTACTGACTTGATCTCGAGGATTTCCCGTGAAAATCATCAACGCCTTTCACGTAATTGAGATCAAAAGACTTGAACAAAATAAAAGTCCCTTCCTCCGTGCACAAGAATACCTATATCGGGCACATATCCGTGTATAAATATGTTAAAAAAAAAATCTCAACTTGACAAGTATTTTCTTTTATTGATGAAAATACATTTTCACTGTGGGCATTTCTAGATGTTATTGCGACAGTTCAAAAGTGAGATAGTGAGAGATGTAGAAAGACTATTGAAATCAATAATATAAACTGGTTATAATTTTCGTACTGGACGTACCTCAGATACAACGGTTCGTCGATATTGTTTATATGGTTGATTTTTATTTAAAATATGCGCATCGATAACTGTACGAAAGAACATAATAACATTCTTGACTTCGGGTGGGATTGAGATTATGAAAATTCCAGATCGATTGAGCCACTTCTTTTTCTCGTGGACTTTTGCCAGAGAGAATGATAAAAATCTTTATCGCTATCTTCCAGCGAGCGTTTGATCATACAATCATTAATTATTTATATATATATATAAAAAAGAGAGCGAGTCGAACCGAAGAAGTGGCTGAATCGACGTGGATTGTCCAGCGTTGTATTTAAAATCAGTTGTGTAAAATATTACAGCAGTTTTTAATTTTTCATTTTTCAACCGTCAGCTGTTGTTCATAATTCTTCTGACAATAAAAACCTTCACGCCCTTCAAAGTATTGAAAATAAAAAAAAAACTTTCATAAAACCAAGACTAATGGAATCAATTTAGAGTCCAATTCCACGAGTTATTAATCCCCAAATTTTAAGTGCTAAAATTTTATACAATTTCTTACTTTCTTAAGTGAGCAATAAGAAAGTTCTAATTATGCCTTAATTTTGTCTCGAAGTACCCGCTCCAGAATAATAATTTATTATTTGGACTTGAAATACACAACCCAGCAGTATAAATAAATTACGGTGTTTTTTTTTAAATTTTTTCATCCATTCATGCAGTCCATGCGCGATACATAAGTTTCATCGACGTCTGTAGTTATTAATTTTTTTTTTTTATGACTAATTATGTAGTTTATCCTCCTATACATAGAGAGTAGTACGAGTTGACTTGATAAAGAGAATTTTTACTCCGTCGTTAGTATCAAATTTATTCTGTGGACGTCCCTAATTCAATTGCGTTGACGTCCGTAAAAACGGAAGCATTGATTACGTCTCAATAAAATCACCCAACATTTTTCCCTCACAACAGCACTAAAAGAAAACAATCGATAACAACATTTACAATAATTCCGGTAATTGATGATTGAAATAAATTCTCATAAATTTATGTCAATTTTTCTGGCAGTACAATAATTATGTCTATGAATTCAGTCGACTTTCGAAGAGATTGCCCATTCAGTCATGCAAAATTATGCAAATAATCATGAAAATTTTGAATATTGTTACAACAACAAAAAAAAAAACGCACTCAATGCATCCAGTTTTTACAATTGAAAGTATCAAGTCTATTAACACGAGTTGATTATAATCACCCAGTGTAATAACATAGCACCTAGGGTTTTGTACTTTTTTCAATAATTTTCATAATATAATAATAAACGTAACTTTATGACAAGAGAAACTATTTACATAATACCAATACGACAGTAAGTTGTTGATGAAAAGCAATTCAACGATTTGTCAGTCCCGTCTACCAGTTCTTTTCTATCTTCTTTTTTTTTTTAATCTTTTTCATTTGAAATCTGCACAACTACGGTAATGAGAAGACTGAATGAACAATTGATCTTTCATCGCAATCAATGATAAAACTCCACCTACGAAAAATGTCTTATGCACTTCATTAATATATTTCAAACATAATATCTTGTTCTAATATATATTGGCTCAGTTTATTCGAATATTCAAAATCTACTTCTCATTCATCGCATCACACATTATCTACATGATTCATTTAATCTCGTTTTCGTAAGTAAAAACTGTCGATAAAAGTTCACTTTACAATATTATCTGAAAAAACGAACAAAAAAATTAACCATTCTATAACGTTAAAGGCTTTTCATATATCACATAACCAAGACATTTTTCTTTCATCGTCATCATTAACTTTAGAATTTGTAACATTGATAATTTAGTGCTAAAAATTTTGCGCACACCATTATCACTAGGTGATAATAAGTGTCCACAATTGCTGAGCAGTTCTTTATTATAATATTATTTTATTCATTCGCTATTATTGTTGTCCTGCTTACTATGAATAATCTTAATCTAATTGGTAATAATTTCTAATCATTACTAATTGCAGTTGATGGAGTAACAGCTCTGTCGAGCTCTTCATTGTTGTCAATAATTTGTGCTGCCTCTTCAACAGTGTCATTGTCTTCAGTGCTGTCAGCAGCACTTGGATAATTATCCTTTACCTGATTATCACTGTTATCACCACTATCAACAGAATCACGAGGATTAACATTAGCCTGTTGAATTGTTATTTTTTCCAGCTCATCACGTAACTTAACTATTTCCTGTGCGTCCTGTTGACGTCCAACTCTTAAATTATTAAGTTCTGATGCCACTTGTCTCACCAGAGCAATAACGTCATGTGGTGCATCAATAGCCACAAGACGCTCCTCGAGCTCAACTATCGCTGCTAAATCCTCTTCAGTGTCACTCCGTGACGACGATGTACTCACACCAGCTGATAACTCCATTGTTATCGTCGAGGATGTCACAGCAGCACTGCTGTCCTCGTCCTCGCAATTCTTTCTGTGAAGAATTTTTCTCTTCATTTTTGGCCTCTCGTTTCTGCACTCCTCCGGATTTTTAGATGGCGTTGAAAAATTACGTGAATATTCACATGACTCTGGACCCGGTGATGATGGTTTCTCCATTTTAACTGATACCAGGGGCTCCAGTTTTTCACGAGAACTTGGGGAATGATTGTGATTGTGGGGATCTCGGTAGAGGTGTCTGTGACCTCCTGGCAGATCCTCGGACTGCGTTGTTGGTGTTGGTTGTATTGGTGGTTGTGTTATCGGGGCCAGGGCAACATTTGGCTGATAATGGGGCTCAAAACGCTCGCATTCTGAGAGCGGTACCACACGCTCTGGATGCTGCAGCACCGGTGGACCTCGGCTCAGATAAGCGGGCACCAGTGGTGAACTGTTTTTTTTTTTCATTCAGTCAATTTAATTGTTAAATTCACATAATCAATAAATTATCTCAATATTTTTTAATAATCAATGAGTGAATTGAATTTCAGATAGTGAATTTATTTGGCAAAAGGGAAATGATATTGTTGAGAATAAAATGGCAAAAAAAAAATTTAATTAATCGATGAGAATTGAGAGATAAGACTTGTCACCTGTCTCGATGTTTGCAAGTATTAGCTGTGTTCCAGGGCCTGAAGGCAGAGGCACCACGTGCCGCCAATTCAAAAACTGCCCACTGCATTTGCAGATAAGGATCACCTCCACCTGTGGCCGGTGATATCGAGTACATCCCCAAGCCATTGCCACCAGCATAAACACCAGCAAATTCATTACGTCCCATTTCCTTTTTCAGTCGTTTCGGTAATTTGTCAGACTCATTTCGAAACTGAGGAAATGAAAAGAAAACATCTTGCTAAATAAATTTTTTTTATGACAAACAAGTGAAATTTATCTCAAATAATTAATCTCGTAAATATAATAATGCGGTAAAAATAAATAATAAAATAGGAAAAAATGAAAAATAAAATGGAGTGAATAATTACCTCAGTGAGCTTCCTCTTGAGATTGGGCAGAGGATATTTATCCTTCAAGTTCCGAAAGAATGTAACGAGCTTGTTGTAATGAGGCTGATCGCGTGACAACAACAAATAACACCGCCAATTGGTTGAATCAAAGCCCCAGTGACAGGTACGATTCTCAAGTGGTCTGTGTGCATGACGTACAAAACGCTGAGGTGAAAACTGACATCCACATTCCAAACACTCAATGCACGCCGAATCCTCAGCATCAAATCTCTCAGCATTGAATATTCCCTTGCATTTTCCAAAACACTCGTGATAAACTTTGAATTTAGCGACAGTATCATTAGTATCCTTATCACAATGCTCCTTTCCCTCATTATCCTCAATCATCTGCGGTAATTCACGTGGCTCAATACGCAGTAAAAGTGCGCTAACGAGTCTCTCAGCATCAGTTTGTGTGATTAATCCACAAGACGGTGCATTTCTTGGCAGAATACCAGACAATTTTAACTCCTCCAATTGGTCATGGGTGCATCGTGAACAGTATATTTGTAATTCATCGCAAACCTGATTAATCTGCTGCAATGAAAAATCCTGGAGTACAGTATTGAGTATTTGGGGTAAACAGAGTCTGCGCTCACCACCAACAACAAAACACGAGATTCTCTCGTTCTCCAGTGTTGTTTCACACCTCTCAGAGCAGCTCTGATCTGGTGCTGTGAGAATTGGTATTTGAAATTCCAATTCCCGCTTTTCACCGATTATTTTCAACCTCTCGGGCTGTGGATCATCGTCTGAATCATCCTGCGATCTGTCAACAATGTGATCTCTTCTTGATAAAACTGATGGTGCTAGTGTTGGTGGTACAGCCACTGATGCAGCCACAGTGTCATCGCTCTTCTTGTAATCTTTTCCATTAATATCATCTGTATCCGAATCAATGCAATTTGATGTACGATTGAGGGTTGGGAAGTGAAAGGACGTTTGTTCCTGCAATATTCCTCTACAGTCCATACCCAAAAGGGCTGAGCTCGGTCCTTGCAGGCTCTTAACTGCTGATAATTGATATGTCTTCAAGACTGTCTTCAATTGTGGACTGTAAGAAGGGCTGCCAGTACTAGCCGGTAATAGTGTCTCCATTTTTACAATCTGATATCACTCTCAATCCTTTTCCAAATGATAACAAAATAACATAAACATCATCAGTCTGAATCCATAAACACATGAGCATTTAGGGTCAAATGATGACAACGAGTCCGTGAAAATTATCAATCACTCTCATACTTTTATTCATTACTCTTCTCTCTCTCTCTTTCTCTCTCTCTTCCCTCCCTCTTCACCTCAGTTTCTACCATTGAAAATAATCATCGTATTGCACTACTGTGAACGAACAAAGAGCATACGGTAAATCCATCTTTATGGCGTGTACCATCATCCTCATCATCACTCACATGTGAATCACCAACACCGAGATTAACTCGGTCCATCTCAGTTGTCTATGACCTCTTCTGTTTATCACTCGTATCATAAATTCTATTATCATTATCTAAATTGTAATCACTGATTTCCATCCCTAGGAAGACATCGGTAACATATACTATAGGGTGTCCTTATTATGACGGAAACACTGGGAAGAAAATCATTCGTTACACTTGCTATTTTCGACACTCGACGTTCACCCAACACTGAATTATTGACAAAATTAAAATGATGGCAGAAATTGAGATAGTGAGGACGATAGAAATGGGAGAAATTGATGAAATTAGTGGAATTAGTGGAATATAATAAATGAAATGTTTAAAAAAAATTAAATGATGAAGTGAGAGGAGAAAAAAAAAAAGAGTTGACGAAACTAGACAGTTATGGTGGCGGTCTGTATAACCTTGTCCCTACGGGTTATACCCAGGCTTTTGAACTAGCACAATACATATAAAATATATTTCACACGGACATGGGTCTCACACTGTCTCGTAGAGGCTTGTCTCGCGGTCACGGGTATGGGTCGGTGGCCTGGGCACCTCTACCGATTCCAAGTGGCGACCACAGCAGCTAAACGACACATGCCCGTCTCCATCCATTCGTTCCTCCTTTCCCCTCAATCCTCAGTCCTCTCTCTTCCTCAATCCACTATCCCTCGACATCAACCCTTCACAGACACGAGTTATTCAACACAGTCACATCACAGTAGTCACCATAAAAAAAAAAATGAAAAACCTTCACAAACATCGAAAAACATCAAAAAAGATCCAAACAGATAGCGAAGATTCCAAAGATTCCAATTATCCCAATGATATCAATGATCCCAGATATCCCGAATAAATTCAATTCACAGCACCAGAGTGTCATTATGATCTTCTCTCCCACTCTTTGTCTTCCAGCCTCTCATCCTCCAATTTATCAATAATTTATTTGTGAGATCTCTGGTGTTGATTCTGGGGGATTGATTACTCTCGGTGTTTTTTAGGGCTTTCCATATTCTGCACTCCACCACCTTGACGATGAAATAATCCACTCAGCTTTACCGTATTGCTTGACAGATATGACATACACCTTCACACCCGTATTTGCGGCATTCTCATCACTGGTCATCACTTCGTCAGGCCGATTTACATTGCACGCCATTCTGGGATGGCGTATCGATCGTCCATGTGAAACAAACATGCCAGTATTTACTGCGCATTATCACGGACATCGGGCTATTTTCCGGGATTTAATCCACCAATGGGTCAATTTGGTCAATTTACTATTATTATTTTGATTAAATAGGGGGGATTTACCTCGGTTGGTGATTTATTTACTTGTTATTGCAACTTCAAATCACTTCAACTGACTTTTTACTTCAACACTTGTTCACAGCGGGTGAGCAACGGGGAATGAGGGGAAAATGGAAAAGGCAGACGCGCGCGCAATCAAAAGTCTTCTTGGGTTATTTGTGGGTTAAAAACACATGGATTTTACGGAATTTTTTCGATGTCCGGAGCTTTTTTGGGTTTATTTTTTGAGGGGGGCTGTTTGGGGATTTTTTATCGGCTCTCACGGAATTTTCTTGTGGGTCTTTTGTGGGTTAGTGGGTTTATCCTGTTTTTCATTGACCTACGGATTGACCAATGGGAACGGGGAAATTGATCGGAGATTTTCATCGGTGGGAATTTAGGGGGGTTTCCGCGCAGGCGCTAATTGGGAGTGCAATTCGGTAATTGGAGGGTGAGAAGTCAGTGAAAGTGTTTTGGGGAGAATTTTTGGTTTTATTTTTAGGAGTCGCTGGAGAGGATGGATGAGAATTTCTTGATGGTATCAAATGAATTTGAAAGAGGATAAATTTGATTTTTAACGATTTAAAAGAAAAATTGTAATTTTTCAGGAAGACATTAAAAAATTCCTAAAACCCCATAAATTTTCAAAATTTTTTAAATTAATTCAAAGTATTTCAAACATGAATTAATCTCTTCAATCCAAGTTGTTAAAATATGTGTAAATCCATGAATAATAATTAATTCAGTAATTGTTTAAAAAAAATAATAACTATTTTTAAAAATTCTGTAAAATTATTTATGTAAAGATATACATTAAAAATAAATTGAATGATTTAAATCGTTATTTGAATTAACCCGCGACGCCCCGAGCTCACGGCTGCGCGCGCCGGCTGAAACTTCTCGTCGAAAATAGATCGGTCGACCCGTAAAAATCGATTCGCAAAATCGAGTATCGAGTGCTAAAAATCGATCTTTGCAGGTCGAAAAACCGTAGCATAGGGTGAAATCAGCGGCAATAGCTGGCTGAATCGTGGAGTGTCACAAATAATTCAATATGACAATTTTCCGAGTAAGCAATGTCTTCCGACTGGATCGAAATATTCTACTGCATAGTAAGATCCGAAATTCACTCATTAAAATATTAACAACCCCAAAAAAAAATTGATATTCTCGATTATGAGATGCACTCGAGGGATACCTCTCATTTGTCATGGTACAAAGTTCAATCCTTCCACACTTGACCTAAAAAAATTCGAATCCTTTATTCTGAATTGAATATAAATTCGATTGACTCGAATCCTTCGATCGAATGGCTATCGGACATTAAACAATCCTCATATTAAAAAAAAAATGCATTTTCAGCCCTGACAATTATTTTAAAACTTTACCCCACGTTCAGTGGATTTATTGAATATTATTTATGTAATATTTAGCTCTCCCCCAAGTACTGGATTCATTGAAATGAAATAAAAATCACCTAGAAATAAATTAAAAGTATATTAAATAATAAAATAATGAATGTTTACCTCGAGCCCATGAATTTCAGAAACAGCATATTCCTTGGCATCAGCAGCTCCATCCAGAAATTATGCAACAACAGGTAACAATTCAGCCCGCAAGAATATCGTCTACGTGGATGGGGTTCGCACTCCATTCTTGATGTCCGGCACAGATTACACTAAACTCATGCCTCATGAATTAGCCACACAGGCTCTGATGTGAGTAATAATCCTGAAATAATAGTCGGACAATGTAATGACTCCGAGGTATTTCAGGTCCCTCCAGAGAAAAACAAAAATTCCCAAAGAGGTGATAGACTACATCGTGTATGGGACTGTCATCCAGGAGGTAAAAACAGCGAATGTAGCTCGTGAGGCAGCCATGGGAGCTGGATACAGTAACAAGACACCAGCTCACACTGTCACAATGGCCTGCATCAGCAGTAATGTAGCGATGACAACAGGAATAGGACTGATTGAATCTGGAGTTTATGACGTGGTTGTAGCTGGTGGAGTGGAGTTCATGTCAGACGTGCCCATTCGACACAGCAGATCCCTGAGGAGTATCATGCTGAAAGCCTCTAAGAGCAAATCTCTGGGACAGACACTCTCTCTTCTGGCGTCCATCAGGCCCAACCACTTTGTCCCCGATGTAATTAAAAAATCATCATCTACTGTAAGGTTTATTAATTTCTCTCTATTAATTTTTTAGCTCCCATCGGTGGCTGAGTTCTCTTCAGGGGAGACAATGGGCCACAGTGGAGATCGTTTGGCTTCAGCATTCGGAATATCCCGAGCAGAACAAGACGAATACGCCATGAGATCTCACAAACTCGCCCAGAAAGCTCAGCAAGAGGGAAATCTGAGTGATCTGGTGCCATTTAAGGTGCCAAATGTGACGAAGATAGTGGACAGAGATAATGGGATCAGAGTTTCCAGTCCAGAAAATCTAGCTAAATTGAAACCAGCTTTTGTGAAGCCTTATGGCTCCATTACAGCTGCCAATGCGTCTTACTTGACAGATGGGGCCTCAGCTGGACTCATCATGACCGAAGAGAAAGCAAAACAATTGGGACTCACCCCAAAAGCTTACCTGAGAAAATTTACGTACGTTTCACAGGATCCGGTTGATCAGCTGCTGCTGGGGCCAGCTTATGCTATTCCTAAGGTCAGAAACACTTTAATAACTCGATGAATTGTCTCCGATTTTTTGTTTTTAGTTATTGAGGAATCTTTTGAATTCAGGTTTTGGAACTGTCGAAATTATCTCTCAACGATATTGGTGTGTGGGAGATCCACGAGGCCTTTGCAGCTCAGATTTTGGCAAACCTGAAAGCCCTGGACTCTGACTGGTTCTGCCAAACATATCTGAAGAGGAGTAGCAAATTTGGAATTCCAGATTTGAAGAAATGGAATGCGTGGGGGGGTTCTCTGTCCATTGGACATCCATTTGCTGCCACGGGGATTCGTCTCGCTACGCATACAGCGAATCGAATGATCAAAGAGGACCAGCAGTTTGGAATTATTGCTGCTTGTGCTGCTGGTGGACAGGTGAATATTCCATTTTTATTCATCTAAAAAATTTTACTCGTCTGGCTGATAGTCATTTATCGTTGATTAAGATTCATTTCCTTCAGTTCATCCTTAAAAATAGTTTAATCGATTTTCATTATTTTCTTTCTCTTCTAGGGCGTTGGTATGATAATGGAGAGACATCCCGACGCAAAATTGTAGATGTGAAAAGTTTATATTTTTATAAAAAGCCATCAAGGACTCGCGAGGAACCAATCGTTCCATAATTCCTAGAGCGATAGATTTATTTTTCGAGTAATTATTCACAGAAAGTGTTTTTATAACGAATTTATTTGATAAGAATTAAAGAATATCTAAATTGAAGTTGATAAAAAGTGAATTTATTCTAAGGTTTTAACATCAAATAAAGAGGGTAGAGAATTTGTTATGAGGTGTTGCCTAACCATTTTATCGAGAATGGTTTTAATGATCTGACAACCATAAAGGGCTCGTGTCTTCATGCCCTCCATTTTCGTCATGTCCAGACGCTGACCACTGGCCTGAGCTATGACGATAAGTCCAGCCTCTTTACTGGCCTCATTGATGGTCTCAGGAAGGGCAACTACTGACAGAGTCGTCCCTGGACCATTCTCTTCGAGATTATTAGCATCCAGAACCCCAACTCCCTCAACCTCTGAGGCATCATAGGATTGGGAAGCGTCTGGGAGAGTCACTGTGCAGCCGATAGCATAATCCTGAAATATTTAATTACTTATTAATTATAAAAATAACAGTAATTGAAGAAAAATAGAGTAGAGATTACTTTAATGGGAATTCCTGCGTCTATCAATGCAAGAGTTGCTGCATTGATAGCTGCACAGTAATCGCTGCCATCGACCTGGAGGACTTCTATAAAAATATCAATCTGTGACCTCGGAAAATTCTCAAGATTCAGAATGGCTTCCATGGCGTGTCTCAGTTGAATCGATCTTTCCTGAGTTTTTCGGTCTCCCCTTGGCCTTTTTTTTCGTTCTCCAGAGCTCAAGCTGAACACTGCCATGCTGTATTGACAATTGACTATTCCCTTCATTGATTTACTTACAGTACTTCTGGCAGCACTTCCTCGAGTCTGGACAAAAAATAAAAGAGATTTTCATTAATCAAAAACGATTCTTTCGTGGTAAAAGGAGAAGGGATTATTTTCCACAAGCATTTTGAGAGGAGGAATCAGAGAAAATAATTATTTACCTGATGAGGTCCATAAACTGCAGCGAGAATTTTAGTTTTTCCTTGTTCCAAATAAACACTGCCATCAGCTTGTCCAAAAACTCCCATTTTCATTCCAATTTTCCGGAGTTCCAGAGGCCTACGACCATCCACCCTCAGACCCCCTAGGGTTTTCACAAGGTCATTTGCCATTATCTCAATGAAACTCACAATTTACCCTCTCAAGGGTTTCCAAAATGAAAAACAAATATTAATTCCCTCAATATAAAATTGTTATTAGCAGAGGGACTCAAAAAGGATTGACTAAAGTAAGGTATGATGGAGGTATTGCCCAGCTTTGATGTCGCCGACACCAAAACAGGAGACAAGTACCTTCAGACGTCGTATGTAGCGCTGCATAACGTGTCCCCACAATTCAGCGATTTCTGGCGTTTAAATTTGAATGCCAGTCGAGTCGTTCAATTTTTTTTCTTTCAAATTGACATGAAAAAAAAAGGTATGGCATAAAAATTGTCTACAAAAGCATAAATGAACAATGGGTATATGATTATTTCAATAAGAGAGATTCTTCCCCAGTATTGACTATTTTTTCATAAATCAAGTAATTAAAGTGAAACTCTTTCCACGTCACCCAAGAGGTAGAGCCCTTGACGCGTTTTTTTTTAACGTGGTATCCCCTGTAGGCCTAATCCACTAAGTCAATGGATGGGAAATGGGGATGGATGGGAAAAAAATTTTTCCATGGAAGGAAATTAAATAAAACAGTAAATAACAATAATTTTTGCTGTCATTTTTTTTCCTCCATTTTCTGATTTTTTAAAATATATTTCACATTTTTTCCTGCAATTTGCAATTATCATTTTTTAAATAGTCGCGCGCTGTCTCGTGCCGCCTGAGAGAAATTGTCCCCTGTTTTTCGCTTGATTATATTATTTTCAATAACACAAGTGCTCATTGTTGTGGTCGATGTCATCAGCTGATGAAAATTAAATTTCTGTGTATATATTTAAAATATTCATAATAAAAATTGGAAATGTACAGTCAGGACCAGGGGCTGGATATTCTATAGCTACATTGTCGATGTTGAATCATCTCAGCAACACTGATTTGGGAGAAATATTGAACGATGATGGAAGATTCGAGGAAGTTGTCAATGACCTAAAACAGGTGAATTATTTAATCGATGACAATAAATGGATAATAAGGCGGTTGTTTCATTATTTTCTTGTCTTATTATTAGATATGCGACTTGCTAACTTTTCGTGAGGTTTCCTAGTTTAAAGAATTGGAATCTGAAAAGAAAGTTCTGATCGCTGGAAATCGTTCTCTGGCCGAAGTCAATCTAGCAAAGCAACCCCAACTCGAGGAGAATAAAAAAGCATTACATGAACTGTCTGAGAAAGGCTGTGAGCTGCTGCGGAAATTGAAGGAGAATCGGAAGTAATTATTTAAGCAATTATATAAACAATTATTAAATGATAATTGTGATTTTTATTTGTATTCTCCTTCGTGTCCAGAAAATAGCTGAGAAATTCTTATCGGGAGATACAGAAGTCGATGAATTCCTGGAACAATTCTTGACCCGAAGAAAGATAATGCATTTACGAAAGGTGAAGGTAGACA